TAAATGAAAAACTCCAGAATTAAACATTTTATAAATTGTGTGTCATTCTTAGTACTGTGATAAAATCTTGTTCTGTCCTGCTGCATTCCACCTAGGACTTGAATCACTCCTTTGTGCAACGTATGCATGCTGTATACATCTTACAATAAGGTATTTTGAGAGAGAGTGACTACATCCACATAACCTTTATTACAGTATGGTGTTATAATTGTTCTCTTCTATTATTAGTTGTCATTGTTAATCTCTTCCTGTGCCTAATTTATACATTAAACTTTATCATAGGTAGGTATGTATAGGAAAAAATTATAGGATATAGTACAGGGTTCGGTACTATCCGTAGTTTCAGACATCCACTGGGGGTCTTGGAGGATATCCCCATGGAAATGTACTCATTTCCTTTATATCACATTGCCACTTATAATAGAATTTTTTTCAAAGCTCTCAACTTTAATATAAAATCGTGTTAATGTTGTTACCTTGATGTTAATTTTCATTACTACCTTTGAGGATTTCATGGGCTTCACCTTTATGTTTTTCTGGTACTTTATTCACTGAGAATTTGTGTGTTTTTAATTTCACTTGAACCATTTTCCTTTTACATTAAGAGCAAGAAATATATGTAATGCTATTCACCATTTTCATTTTAAACCCTTATTTTGTTTTTTGCAATAGATGAACATATTTTAAACTTTGCTCTCTGTTAGGTTAAGATTTCATTCAAAGACTATCTCTGGCAGGCATATTAAATAAAATGTTAACTAAAGACTCGGAAAAATGTCATGTAGTTAATAATCTAAATAATGCTTTCTTTATAACGCACTGCTGACTGCTATTGTGGTAATGTTCTTTCATGGCTATTATTGTTACACAGTTATGTTCACATGCTCTGTTTAAAGCTATATAATTAGCAAACACTGTAAAATAAAACCACTCAAATGTTATGCTGGGCTATTCTTCCCTTTGCTCACTGTTCGCTCTAAAGTCTTCTGTACTTTAGCCTATTGTGCTAACATTGATTCCTTCGCCCACCTGCCAGCTTTCTTATTCTTGGGCATCTCAAAAATACCATAATCGGTTGTCATTCTCTCCACATGGGAGCCGTCCAAATCCCTATGCTGCCTCTGTGGGGATCTGTTGGATACGAATTTTTCAATAGCACCCTTTCTCACCAGATTCTTCACTGTGTTCATTGTGCATTCTGAAAAACCACATTCACCTTGCTGCCTGGACACTGATAGCTGCAGAGCTGTTTCTTGTGAAGATCTCACAACTCTAGCTACTTAACAACCGTATCTCCTTTACTCTTCATGTTTTTTGGAGGTATGGTTATAATTACAGATGATATTGTGAGTTATTGATTTCAGGTGAATCTCTAAGGGCCCCTGACCATTCTCATGACTCCAAAGTTAAGTGGAAGCAATGCTGTTTCTAAAGGCTGATGCTGACTTGCCCAAGAGTTTTGCTTCCCCCCTCCACTGCCTCCCCC